AATTAGAATTTTTTATTAACTTATTGATTCACTCATATTGCCATTATAATGTTAAGGGAGCATTCCTGGTGGCTTCCTTGATCTTACATCTGCTATTACTGGCATGCAAAACAGAGATGAGTTAGGAGTCCAGGTTTTTTTTCACTTCATAAGGCATAAGGGWTCCAAGATAAAGCCCGGTCTTTACAACCACCTTGAGGACATGGTCCCCAGTTTTTGAATTGAAAAGTACACTAGAAATCCTGCTGCACTGACTGCCAGCAAATTGAATGAGCCCAACACAGGAATTGGACAAGATGGCCTTTAAAGGTCCCTTCCAACYCAAATTATTTTATAATTCCATGATTTGAGTCTTAAATAAAGTTTTAATAAAAGTTAATCAATAATTATTTACCTGTAGAGAATACAACTCTATAGTTATGTCTTCTTATGTTATGCCATCTCTAAAGTTAATTTGAAACAAAAAACCTCTGCATGTGATGCAGTCTGGTAAGTCACTTGCAGCAAAGGCTCCTCCTGYCAGTTCTTTGACTTAAACCCTCAAAAACCAAGGAAGCAATTTCCAGGAAGGGTCATAGGCTTTGTTTTCTAAACACCCTCCCATTCCTGCTGTGATACAAATTCAGTAATAATGCTCTTGGCCATTTGTGAATGGCAACTTCTGAGTGTGGGACAATGACAAGTGGATACTGATGATCATGATCTGTGGTTGTTTTCCAACTAATTTTGTGACCTTTTGATTTACTAATTCCCTTTGCCACCCATCACCAATACTACACCTTCCTAGTCCAAGTTTCAAAGTTTCAGTTAYGTTCTGAAAAACACCCACAGTAGAAGTAGACTTCTACTTGGAATTCAAAATTTGCTCAAGTAATTGTCCTCCCTCCTGATAGTAGCCCCGTATCATTACCCAAATTAGTTTTGGAAATTGTGCTGCCTCTCAGTGGGTGCTTGAATGAGAATTTGATGATGATGAAAAGCTCCTGTCAGTGTCCTGTTGTTTGGGAAGCTCATTAGGTGAGATACAGAGAGTGTTAGTGATCTACTTGTTTTATGGGCGTCTATAAATGATAACTTAGAAAGTATAAAACCAAATAACTGCATCTAGACAATTTAAAGCCAGGAGCACTACAATAATTAAAAGAACTTACTAAACTGTACTGGTAGAACAGGCAAAACCACTATAATCAACTTATCTGGGGAAGTAATCAGGCAATAAAAACTAAGGCATTTTAGGGACTAATAAAGCTGGAATCTAATGACTATAATAAATCTTTAGCTGCAGTTATTCTAGAACAATTTCCCTTGCAGTAAAAAGAATTCTACAGGGCTTTCTGTATGAAATTATTGTTGGTTGGTTGGTTGGTTGGTTGGTTGGTTAGATGTTGATCATAAGTAACAACTGCAGAATGATAATTTTATTTTTGGCATGTATTTTCATCATTTGCCTCTCTTTTGCCATTAAGACTTTGGGCTTCACTCAAAAGCTAGACTCAAACAATCCTTTGACAAAACTAGAAAGAAATTTCTGCATTGACTTTCTATTTAAAAATACACCGTAACATTGAAATGTCCYATATCTTTAGTCCAGAATGGCGTTATGCAGCAGTTTTGGATTTTGACAACTAGACTTCTGYGTTGGTCATTCTGCATACAGCTYGTAGATATTTAATTGTAGCCTGTAYAAATTTGCAATTTAAYARGTACTRTGTATACTATTATAAGCAGATCTTACAAGGTGGAACTCAGCCCACCTACCTTGAGGTGACAATGCTGGAGGTGAGCTAAGCATATCAGCCCCTGGTCTAGACAAGGGAGCTCTGGTGAAAGTGCCCAATGGAATTTAGGGGATAACTGCTCTTACCCTGCAGCAAACCCCTACATTTCATCAGAAGAAGAGCTCTTTAACCTTCTTGGATTACATCTCTACTGTTATCACAGTGAAATCCTAAATATCTTTAAAGGTAAATACCTAAACRGTGGTGAATGTTGAGCTGGTATCAAAATGACACCTCCAGAGCCACTTGTGGAATGACATGGTCCTAAGCCTGGCTTAGGCATACTTCCTTAAAATTATTTTATTTTAGTCTATGTGATCAAAAACAACTAAAACCATCTCAGAGATRTCTTATGGATGTGGCATGTATGTCCTACGTTGCATTACCTGTGACACCTTTTAAAGAATTATTTCTCAGATTTGTCTGGAATATCCATCCCATTTAAATTACTTGCTTARATAAAAAGTCTGATCACATTCTATRGAGAAGAYAAAGAATCCTCCTAAATTAAATAYAACAGAGAAACCTTGAAGCAACTGTATGTTAGAAACAAATTTATTTTAATTTTTGTTTCTTTAGAGGAGCCTCCAAAGGGGACTTATGTTAATACCAAAGTATTTTCAACAAGAATTCTAATATACCTGATGAAATACTGTTGAATACTAAAATTGACAGAATTATTAAGACGACACTGCTAACTGAGTACTATGAAGGCTGCAGCAGTAAAAATATTCATGGTTTAAGGTCTACTCAAAGCTGTAAATATTTTCTGTACTGCAGACTCTTTGGAGGTTGTATGTCCAAATACCACAAAACAAATGCAGACTTGCACATCAGAAYTCACTSTCAGAATCAGAAGCAAAYCCTAAACCCAAGCCAAACATGAATYTTCAAATTCCCAACTCCWTAGATTTCCAAGTTTTCTACATAYACCAGTCAAAGTACAGTATATTTTACAATACATCTCTCATCAATTTATTGCTGCATCTTATTAGGGTAATTTAAAAGAAACCAAATCAATAGTACCTTATAGCACTTACAGCTAGCCACTTTTATTGAAAGTGAAAACATGAAACTGTTCAAACTATGAAAAAAGTTCAACAAAATTGAATTTGTATGAAAACCACATAAGCAGAGTAACTAAAACCAAAAGTTCATTAAAAAAAAATGCACAGCTGCTTTTTCCTTTAGGATGCAAAACTTTATCAGTTTAACCTGGAAAACAAAAACATCCCTGTTTCCACCCTACAGAAATCCTGTAATTTGCAGTGGTGTTTATTTAGTTGCTGTTTAAAAGAAACAAAACCACAAAGCACTTAGGGTACAAAAGGAAAGTAGCTCCACTTTGTCACATGTCCTAAAGTTCTTGTACAGATTCTGATGAATACCATTCCATAATAGTAAGCTTCTTACACAAGCTGGCATTTTTACCTATGACTGTTTYATACCCACACTGGATGGTTCCTTTATGTCATTTTATTTTACTGTTCTAATAGGTCAATAAAAGCAGCACATAATGGCAGGTTTTTTCCTACTATCAAGTATGCAAGTCCATTGCAGCAAGATATTCCCCGCCAATAAAAGGAAATACAGGCATAATCACCAAGATTTCCAAGTTGTTTGGTGGGTTCTTTTTTTTGGTGTTTTTTTTTTTTTTTTTACTTTTAATATGTAATGCTTAAATGTGACATATTTAATATTTAAATAAAATGTTCAAAATTTGCCAGTCCTAGAAACTTATGTTTAAAATACCAATATGCAAAACCAAACACAATAAACTGTACCAGAGTATCAGAAAAGCAGCATTCTTAAGTACTCAAATATAAAATAATAGATGCATAATAATAATAATAATAATAATAATAATAATAATAACAATAATAATAATAATAATAATAATAATAATAGAAAGTGGAAACAGAATGAAAAGTGAGTAGTGCCACTGAATCCTTTGGCACAGACCCTGAGATTTTTGGGCATTGTCAGCAACCAACCATTGACCCCTGTGAAGGAGGCTCTGCAGGCTTCGTTCAGTGACAGAGAACACATGCGGCAGGAACAAATGTCATTATAGGGAGAGCATTCACAGTGCTCTTCAGCAAAACCTCACTTCTGTTCCATCAAATTTGTTGCTGCATCTTCCTACCCTAAACTAAGCCAGACAGGTAATTGTGGTATTGACAAGGACTGATTTGCATGTCACTGTGTCCTCAGACTCAACACAGCAGGCAGCCCAGGTTGCCTCTTGCCCACAGATGCAGAAACTGYGACCTTGAGAATACCACACCAGGAGTATGACACTGAACACTTTACTCCTGCAACAGCAGGAATTGTCATAACCATCCCATGACTCAGGGCAACGCTACAGGCTGGGGGCAAAATGGCTGGAAAGCTGCACATTGGAAAAGCACCAGGGGGTGGTGGTTGACCACCCCTGAACATGACCCAAAGTGTACCCAGGTGGCCAAGAAGGCCAATGGCATCCTGGCCTGGATCAGCAATGGTGTGGCCAGCAGGACCAGGACAGTGATTGTCCCCCCGTATTCAGCAGTGCTGAGGCTGTACCCAAATCCTGTGGTCAGTTTTGRGTCCCTCACTACAAGAAAGACACTGAGGTGCTGGAGTGAGGGCACGGAACAGCAAAGAAGCTGGAGCACAAGTCTGATGAGAGAGCTGAAGGTGTTTGGAGGTTTTTAGCCTGGAGAAAAGGAGGTGCAGGGGGGACCCTTATTGCTTTCTACAGCTGCCTGAAAGGAGGYTGCAATGAGGTGGGGGYTGRTTTCYTCCCCCAGGTAACAAGTGACAGAGCAAGAGGCAATGACTTCAAGTTGCTCCTGGGTAGGATTGGATTGGATATCAGGAAAAATTCCTTCACTGCAAGCATCRCCAGGCTGTTCAGGTGGTATTTAAAAGATGTGTTACTCAGGGACATGGTTCACTGTTAGGTTACCAGTTGGCCTCAATGATCTTRAAGGTCTTTTCCAACCTAAACRATTCTTTCATTCTGTTCTGTGACCTGGTAAGATTATTACACTGATGCCAACCATGTCAACCAAGTGTTTTCCTACAAAAGCACATGCTCTCTGGATATTTATTCAACTGCAGTTTACCTACATAAGATGTCCAGGAGCTCAGCTTCACCACTCTTTAATCTGATTTAAATCAATTCTCCCAGAAAGCATGGTTTTGAGTTTCAGAGCAGAATGTTACTTTCAGACTTACCTTTTTCTGTTTTGTCTTCAGTTTCTTTATCACTTTTCCCTAGAACATTAAAAATATAATTTCATTGAAATAAATTTGTTAACATTTTATGATGAGAAAGAGATACAAGAAAATTACAATTCATACTCAAAATATAATTGAGTGAACAGGACTTTTTGTTTCATTTTCATTTTTTAAAATRACCAGATTATTGTCTGAACTATACAGTTACCTAAAAGGTCTTTCCCTTTAGAAGCAGATGCTTCAACTATTACATAATTGCTTCCATCACAAAATATTTCACAGAACCTTCCCTCTAAATATTTAATATATTTTGTTGGTATACAGTTACAATGCAAGCTATTCTGCATGAGAGAAAATCTGTTCACTAACTAAAGCTATTTAGAACACTAGCTTAATACATAYATTTGATTAAAATGTGATTAACAAAATCAATTAGGAACCTAAAGTCTTATTTTTAGAAGTGACTTGGGCACTTGGAAACTTTTGTCTTTCTTCAACTTGAAAAATAATGTAACAGGTGTTTTGCAAACATCTGACTGCAGAGGCAGACGTTAACTAAGCATTAAGACAGTCTAGTGAAGACAAACTACATCCTGTAGAAAAATCATGTGTGTGTATTTCACGAAGGTGGTAGATATATAAACATCTTTTCACCCCCTCTAAACACCTTTTGATCCTGCCCAACTCTATAACATATAAAGCATCTTGTCTCACAATTCTAACATTGTTATTCTGTTTTCCAGTATTTCCTCCTAATAAACTTAGAGAATACCAAACAGGGAGGTCTGTTGCCTTTTAAGCTAGTTCTGGTTCTCTTTAACATATACTGTTTAATTTTGAGGTATTCTTATATATAGCCAAAAAACATTTTCTTTAATTTCCAAGTAATTTAGAGATGCCTGATACCAGAATACTCAGTCTTCCCTGTTTTTAAACTGACTACTCAGAAGCATTATAGTATGAATACAACATTTAAAAATGCTGGAAAACATTGCATTTTTTCATTAAGAAACTGGATTATAGATGGATTACACACATGAAATCATTTTTTTAATTTCACCCTTTATTATAGGCTAATAAACTGCTTTTACTGAATGTACAGACACTRTAACTCTAATTTATATTCAGAACAAGGCAGAATGAGCATTAACTTAATTGTATGGTAAATTAAATAAATATGGTCACGCTGAAAGTCATTCAGCCCTTCAATTACATAATGAGATCTAGATTGTCAATTGAATTGAAAGAAATGATAAAAGATCTATAGAGTCAATTACATACTAAGGATAATTATTACTGCAGCAGTATATTAATGAAAGCATTGTGCAGTACTTCCTAAAACCCTGGCTTCTGTATTTTTTTGCACATACCACACAATCAATAAAATGGTCATATGTCATCCAAAACACTCAATTTAAAAAAAAAAGCAATAATGCAGCCCCAGATGAAACAAGTTTATTTCCACACTTTTCACACATAACAGTTCATATACTCATATTACTGTTTTTACCACCTCTCATTATCATAACACATCATGTTAGTTAGCCMCCCATTTTCCCCTGTATCTTCTCCTTTATCAGCAACACTTGATATTCCCACCTGACCTCTCYACTTTAATAACCAGTTTCCAAACCAGTTTCCTTGGACATTCAGGTTATTTCTGCAACTTCTTTGCCACATAGGAAGAACAGGGTATGACCTCCTCAGTCTAAAGCCTGCTTCTGTCTCCCATTTCTTGTCCAGCTTCGCATTTCTTTATTCCTGAGACTCATGCAACATATAATCTACAGCTCTCTATACCTATTTATGCACTAAAGTCAGTTCTCCAAACTCTCAGACTTTTTTCAGCCTGTATTCTGCTAAATTAGTAGCCATTGACTTCACCRAAGTCTCTCAAATGATCTTTAAATACTCCAGCTTCTCCTTCTAGGTAACTGTTTTGAAATTCATCACAACTTGATCTTGTTAGCTCTGAAGATCTCGTTTCTCTCAGTTCTCAGCACACTTCACTAAGAATTCACTCCAGCATCATATTCAGCACATATTGCTTTGCTCCTTCCACACTGATCCCTCGCATATTTCAGTGGTGCGAAAGGGTGTAATCACACTATTTCTGACAAAGGCTTAAAAATGTGATCTTTCAAAGACATGGATATGAGAATAAATCTTGAGACTATTTTTCCTCAACTTAAACCAACGGTAGCTCAATCAAACAGAAAAAATCTTAGGTCTTCAAACCACTCCCATCCTTTACTCAATTTCTTCAGCAAAACAAATCAGTGAAAATCACTCACAAAACAGCTTTAGCTAATCTCTGTTGGCTAGGACTGCTATCACTATATAACGAATGCACCAGGGATTCCCAAGAAGGTTTCTACCAAGAAGAATATATTTATTTTTCATATTACAATACAACTAGGTGTTTGACKGCGTATGAGAATGACCCAAGTCACAATTAAAAATGTATTTCAGACCTTCTAGATTTTACATTAATCTCAATCAACATTTTAAATGCAAAAGACAATTTATTTTTGTCAGACAGACAYATAATTTTTGAAATATATAAAATTACAAATGATGTTCAGTAAAATCATTACRTTTTTCAGAATATTTCCTATATTACATCTTAGCCATTTTCTCTACTTCTTAGAAAGAAGGGCCATGATCTGGTACCTTCTTAATTACAGAGAAAGTCACTTAAATTGTAGTAAATTGTCAATATTAAAACACAACTTTAGTATTATGCTCTTTGCTTACTGGTATTTCTTCCTGTGATTTCCAAAAAAGCAACTGAATGCAGGATTTCATATATTCACTGACATACAACAAGAGGCCATGTAGCAATGTGAAAATATTACAAAAAGGTAATCTTCTGACTGTTTTTAAACTACTATTCAGCAATACTTGATCATTAAAGCCATAGAGGTGTTTGAAAACTATCAAGGAAGATTCTTGCTTTCAAAAAGTGTATGGACCTTACCAGATTTCTGATTTAAACTATGGACCATAAACTATAATATCCTGTATGAAAAGTAGATATATCACTTTCCCCAGACATTTGTGTTTGTTAGAGTGCTATCTCATCTATTTTAAATTACAAACAGAAATAATGTTTCATGAGAAAAATCCAGGCCAAACAGGCTGCAGAATGTTAACACTCCAAAAGGACAAACACAACACAATTATAGAAGACACAGACCTTAGCGTACTGTTTATTTCCTTCATGTAACACCAGCCAGAAATAAAATTAATTCATTTTACTTGCTACTTCCTCCTTGTAAACAATACTTTCAAATATATTTTTAAATATTCAAATTCATAATTAAAAAAAAATTAGTGGCTGAGTCAAATATTTATCCCTATRGCTAATATCTACCACATTTGGGAATAAATAATGACACTAGAAAGACAAAGATGTTCTTCTGTGTTTTATTGCAGCCAAACATTAAAATGGATTAAATATACATATTTTTAATAGTCCACTTGACCTTGCTCAGCTTGGCATATTTTTGTAAACATGAAGCACGTAAAATCACATACCCAGTTACAAAATACTTAAAATTCAATCACAGCATAATATACTCTCACAGTCCCATAATTCTACAAATAGGCTGCCACTGTTATATAAAAAGTCCTCCATTCACCATCCTAAAATAATTCCCAAGATTCCTCACAAAATATGGCTTTGTAAAAATTATTGCTCTGCAATTCACAATCACCTATAATTTTATTAGAATATCCCATCCCAAACACATCAGCCTAAGAGTATTATTGCTTTCCTGAAAAGTCTAAAGAAATCACTTTGGGACATCTGTATTTGTTGATCAGATGTAACACTCATGTGGAGTCTCACTGACATCCCAAACCCAAAAAAGGACAAGCATATATGATGCCCCTTTCACTACAAATGTAAGCATCTAAAGACTTGTCTTCAAAACAGTGTTACAGAAATTGAGAGTCTCCCTGTAAACCAAAAGGCAACCAACTGTTAGGGCTACCAAATTGATTTTTCTTTTTATAGTTTTATCTTACTTTATTTCTCCTAAGCTCCTGTAACAGGCTTGGCAACTTCCTAAAATCACAGCAATTATTCCTGAGCCAAAAAGGAACACATGCAAAATATCAAAGAATAAAATATGTCTTCGTAATTGTGGAACAGCAGCACAGAACAGGTAAAAAGCACACCTGTTATATTAAAATTCGAAATCACTTACAGTACCTCAATTTCAGTATTATTTTTAAGAGCATTCATAATTATAGGTCTTAAATTTTGACATATTTTTCTTGAGGTTGAATTTCCAAAGCTTTTTGGTTTTAAAAATAAAATTTTCTAATCAATTGTTTATGCAAATTTGACTTTTAAAATAATTTACTGAACATAAAGCTTATTAAATTCAGCTTTGAGATCATTATACTGGTAAGCAAACCAAAACAGAATAATTTTACTGAGTTCAACCTGATTCCAGCAACTAAGTCTTGTTGCAATCTCCACTGATTCTCTGTCAGGCTAGCATCTAGTCTCTAGACATTGTTGCTTGAAAAATCAAATGTGCCTAAATAAAAAGTGCTAATTCATACATAAAGGGTTTTTGAAAACYGTAATTTAGTAATCTAGCCTTTTACCAGTATGAATTAAACACACGTTTCATATCTTGTTAGGGTATTTTAAAAATCACCTGAAATTCATGTTGTCAACTGTTGACATAACATCAGTGCAAAGACATATAAGTCAAACTTCACAGCATAGTGTGTGCCTGATTAGTGTTTTTAAATAAAATGCAATTAGGCTGTATGCTATATCAGCAGTTATGAAACATTTAAAAATTCATAACATCATATGTTTCATTTGACCAAACTGCTCTGTACATACTGTATGAATCCACAACAAAAGATATATATTAAAATCTGAAAAAAATGTACTTGCTGCTACGTCATAAATAGAATATTAACAATTGCTGAAACAGTACATGAAATGCAGCTCTAAGCTGTAACTCTGTCACAAACACAGAAGAAAAATAATGAATTCACTAAACTTGACCAAGGGAAAAAAAATATCAGACAGGAATGTAAACTAAACATCCAAGTGTTAAGAATGCTTACTAAAATRACAGTTGGCTAAAACCCATTTACAACATCTTAGTGTTCATTCCCCAAACCCTGAACTGCTTGGTAATTACATCGTAAGATCTATTACAACCATCTGCTCCCCTTTTGTAGCGTTTGGTTAGGACTGGTCCTCCTGATGTAGGGACTTTTCTTTTGAAGCTTTAAGTATCTGAAAAAATAAGGGGAAATCTATATTAAAGGACCAACCAAAACACAACTTCCTCTAAAACAACAAAAAAAAATTAAATGCTAAAAAATGCAACTTTGTATCAGACTAGTTAAWATGAAAAAGCTATAATTTCTAAGAGCTACCATAATGAATATACACAAAGTTGCTATATAAGATGGGAAATAAACTTTTAAATAATTTTCTAGGCAGTTAWATTTTTTATTACCATATGGCACTTCATTTACCTTGTAAAGGATATCTAGGCCATGTCACAAATCTATTTAAACATTCTGATTTTGCTTTGGTTTTTTTGTGTTGGTTTGGTTTGGGATTTTATTTATTAAAGTCAAAGACAACTGGAAAAGAGGAGCCAGGGAATGAGGAAGGGTAAAAGTTCTAAAGAGGAAGCTTCTCTACACATACGGGATTTCATCAGTTGGTAAAATAAACATAGGGTTATAAAAATGCCAGGGATACAAGGTGAAGGGGAGGAGTGGAACAACTCACAGATATTTTAAATCTAAACACATATGAGAGCAATCAAAATCCACATACAGAGAGTAAAGGTATCCTCTAAATCCACAATGTCCCCCTATAAAATATGTACAACAACTACTATATCACAACCCCTGAAATTTATGGGCCAGTGTAAAGCAGCAGCCAAAAAACCTGAATCAGTAATACCTCAAGCTAGGTTATCATACCACCCAAGTCCATTAGTTTACAAAAATGCAGATTGTAAGCGCAGCTAAAGTAATCTACATCTGGAAAAGMATACTGGCAATAATTTCAGAAGTAAACTCAGAGAACTGGAAACAGCACTTGCAGATAACTAAAGATGTATCTGACTAGTGTGACCCTTTTTGTGATATGTCCTGAAGTCAGCAAGAMACTTCTGACTTGCACTTCAGCATATTCAAATCCCACACCCAGTCTCTTCCTTGGTGATGTGAGAAAGCTCAGAAGTTGAATTTGACTGTGAGGAACAATCTCCTATTTTCTTTCCAAAACAACTAAGTTCCTATGTCTTAGCTAAAAATCAAACAACTGCTCCAAACCCGATACAAACTGGTGCCACCATGCTTCAAATGCAGTTGCACAAATTTAAACTACTGAAGAACAAGGAATGCATAGTGACATTTCTGAATTTCTTTTACAGTGCCTTAAGTTATGTTTAGTACCACTTAAAACCCAGGAAATATTAGCTTTAAACAAYTGATGAAATAAAATCACATAAACAGAGAAGAAAGACTTCAGACAACAAAATCCCCCATACTGAATCCTCCATTACAAAGAAGATAATAAAAAAAGCCCTGGTAAACATGAATGTCATAATCTAAGAGGAAAATTTGAGAGTAATATTGCTATCATACTGAAATATTCATATTCAAAAATGACAGGGAAGTATAATTAATAGAAGGAAGAACTAATAATTTAATATTAATCTTTATTCATGGTCAGTAGCTTAATTATGTCCTCTGTTTCTTTTGTCAGTTTCCCAGGATGCTACCTGAATTTTACTTTATATGCTGAAACAATAAGATTTTTAGAAAAAGTCATAAATTATGGTCCTGCCTTCAGAGTGGTTCCCACATAACTACACAAATTACAAGGATTCTTAAATAGATGCTCTGCTCAGATTGTGTGCTGATAAAATTATTTTAATTTTCTACTTCCTAAACAAAGAATCATGTACATTGTAGTACATCTAATAATAATTTGCATCTTTARTAACTGAATAAACACATTTTAATTGATTCTCTAAATTCTTCCCTGTGAAGGGAAGTAAAAAGTAATTMATTCCTTCTAGCTCTGCTGCTATTGTGTCTTTCCACAAGATATGCCAGGATAGACATCAAGGTAACCTCACAATTTAAATGGTGCATTGCACTAATTTTGAAAACAACTGCAGGTAAAAAAAGAATAAATCTAAAAGTTTTATTCAGAAATACATACCATTTCAAAATGGAACAAGCTATTTCTCATTCTAATAGTGACTGAAAATGGCAAGGAGTCTCTTAGCATCACAATACAGCAACAGGAGAGTGGGTAACTAGTCTCAGTTTACACCATGTTATTTGCAAATATATCTGCAATTAAAGGAGTGMTCATTCTCTACTTGGCACTAATGAGGTTATATCTCAAATCCTGTGTTCAGTTTTGGACCCCTCATTGCAGGAAGGACACTGAGGCGCTGGAGTGTGTTTGGAGAAGGACAACAGAGCTGGTGAAGGGTCAGGAGCACAAGTCTGACGAGGAGCAGCTGAGGGAACTGGGGCAGTTTAGCCTGAAGAAAATCTTATCACTCTCCATAAATGTTTGAAAGGAGGTTGTAGCCAGGTGAGGGTCAGTCTCTTGTTAAAGAGAGACTATTAAGAAATASTTGGAGGAAGCAGCCTTGAGCTGTGTAAGGGGAGATTTAGATTGAGCGTGAGGAAAAATTTCTTCCCCAAAAGGGTGTTCAAGCATTGCAACAGATTGCCCAAGGTGGAGTCTCCATTCCGGAAGTATTTAATGGACGTACACCTGGGAACACCWGGACATACAGATGTGACACCATGGTTTAGTGGTGAACTTGGCAGTGTTAGGTCTATAGCTGGACTTCATTTTAAGGGTCTTTTCCAATCGAAATGACGCTATGATTTGAAATGGCATATTTCAGAAACCACCACTACTATATAAAACACCTAAGTTTTGGGGTTTTTTTTGGAAGGTAGGAAAAAATAATACACTGGTGTAAGACTGAGCCATAAATTTATAATACAAAACTGATAGAAATATAGTCCAAAACCCCAAGATTTCAAGTTGGCATTTGTACTCAGAATTTAGTTTTAATATAGTACATGTAAGTAAAGAAATTATCTCAATATCCTCAACTGACATTGTGCAGTAGAATTATTTATTGTTGAAATTTCGTAATGTTCTATAAGGGCTTTTTGGGTATTTTAACTTTAAACAGCAATATTTTCTGAGAGAAAACATCTTTTCCTCTTCTTTAGTTCCAAACAAACAACACAACAAACCAAGTTTGCACAACAGACTGAGCGAAGACTACCTTGCCAAACTTCTTGCCCATGCTGTCAAAGGYAACTACTGTTTGCTCCTACACTGATTATAAGCTTTGGTTAAGACTTCATATTCATTATGAAACAAAATGCTTCCAGTTAATACTATTGATTCATTAATACCTATGGCTTCAAACATTTCAACACACCATGTTGTGATTAACAGGTGGGAAAGAGCTCACAGCCAACACAGTTGTGCACCAATATGGGCATTTCAAACCACCTCGACTAAGGTTCAGCATACAAACTCAAACCTGATCTAAACCAGGCCTCCAATCTGTACTGGACAAACACAAAAGGCCTCCTATGTTTCCTTCACTTCTCTGTCTACTTTTGGTATGACTAAGAACCAAATACAAGTACTGTAAGAAAAAAATAAACCAAACCAGTACCCTTTGGGCATCACAAGTTGTAAGAGCTTCTGCAGAGTGCAAAGATTAACTAACCCAGAAAGGTGGTCAGGCTAATCAGCACAAAACAAAAATACAGCTGAYAGAGCTCCTGGATTGCAGCTTCTCTGATCCACTGCCCTGAGACACAACTCTGTGTTCCACTCAACACAACTCRTTTGGTACAACAAACCAACTAGCAAATTGTAATAGTTAACTCCAATAATGTAACAATATGCTGTCCTTGAATTTAAAAGCCATTTACCTATTCTAAAAATGGTTTTGGTAAAATCTGTTCYACTCCTGCCAGGCAACAGATGGAAGAACTGGAAGTGCTCTTGTTCTTAAAATCAGTTATGCCAAGAAAAATATCATGGCATGAAAAAACAATACCAGATTGTTCCAGAAAGAACAGTTCCAGTTTCCAGATCCATGTCCAAAGAATGTGCCACAGCCAGACTCCAACAGATCTGACTGACACACAGAGAAGAAAAACTATCATTGTCCATAACAGTTGCTCTGGAGGGCAAGTACCCACATGTACGAGACCTGAAATTGTTGTATTTCCCTTTCAGAAGTAATCAGGGCTATCTGAAATCATTAAAAATTAAGTTTAAAATTCAAACGACTCAATTTATTTGGAATGCTTTCCTATAACCCAGTAACTACCACTGGCATTTATTAAGTGAAAAGCAAAAAATAATTATTGCTTCTAAACAAGAAGCAACTTTTACAATAATGAGATCCCTTCATGCCTCCTCACAAAGTAATTTGATTACAAATTTCCATATAGCTACAGCTTTATTTTTTTTTTAGGAAAAAAAACAAGCGCACAAGATTGACTTACCTACTTGAACATCATTTGAATAATCCTCAGCTTTAACAGGTTTTTCTGTAAATAAAAAACATAAAAATAATTCAGACTGAGCTACTACCTAAATATTTACAAAAAGTCTCAATTTTTTTTTCACTTACACTCTAAGGAGTGACCGATCAAGACTGCTCTGTAACACTACTTTTGCAGAAGTGGGATGCAAATTTCTTCCCCAGGTGAATTTTTTTCCAAGGGAAAGACTAATACTTAAGTAGGCCAATGAGTAAATTGCAGGATTGCACACTTYCTAAAATGATACTTCAAAGTTCTGAAACTATACTATCCAAAGCACAAATATCCCACAGTTTCACATGCTGTGACAGTATGGGCTTAGAAAACATTCATATATACCTATTTGGTTCCCAGCTATAATTGTGAAATGACTACAAAATTCAATTACTTTGAATTCCATATGTATTATTAAATTAGACATGTCACACATCACCTGCTGCTATTAATGCTAATACACTGAAGGCTGCACACAGTCCCTGCTCATGCTTGGAGGGAGTCAGGCACACCAGAAAGAACTTCACAATAACCAGGATGCTGGCTGTAGATAATGGGAAGAACTAAAGAGAGGGAAATACATTCTCTGAATTTGGAAGCCATAACTACAGAACTCAAAGCTGGGGAGACATTCCACTTTTTTCCTTCCTTTCAGGAATATGCACTCCTGACTGCCTGATGGGAAACAGCATGGAAAAGAAATTTTTGGTTCCAACATAAAACCAAATTTGGTCATCTTTATCGATACAAGTTTTTCTGAACTGGGAGCACTCTCAACTTCTAAAGCCTACAAGTGCTTTCTAAGCCATTAAATATTGTCATTAAAAAGCCCAAGATACTAGATCCCAACAACACAGATGTGTTTATCCTTAAAACAGCTGCAGAAAAAGTTATTAATGCATTTTTATTGCAGCACAGAATTCTACTGCATAACATTTATCATTCTCAATTATTTCTTTTTTTAAAGTAGCAAATGCATGCAAAACACAATATACAAACCTGATTCTTCTGGTTCAATGGCCACATCATCTTCTGTTTGCTTACTTTCTACTATAAGAAAGAAAATAAGTGTTGAAAGTTATTCACATTAAGTTCATAATTTTGTTTTTTACTTCCCAGCAGGTGCACAACTGAATTAATATAAAACAAAAAGGAAGACTTAAACTATGAACCAACCAATTAGGCCAATTTAAGAGCAGGAAAAAAGGTACTGAATTTCACATCCAAAAATTCATATCCAAAAATTTCACATCCAAACATTTAGCTCCTCTTTGTTATTGACTTCTACTTCTACTGCACACACCAAAAGGATTTTAGCTACAACTGTTGAGTGTAAACAATGTATGTTACCCCTTTTAATTATACTAGAATGCATTTTCCGAATATAAAATCTAAATAAATATAGCAACAAATCCTACACACAGTGCTCAGAATGCTTTGCTCTAGCTGACTCAATCCATATAGCATTCCAAAAAGACATAATTTTTAACTTCTTAGAGCAGATCTTTAAATTACATTTAACAGAGCACTTATTCAAAATTCCTCAAGAACAATACAGCAAACAAAAATTTACAATGTAATCTTTCTGAGTAGCAATGTGGGAAATTACCACAGAGCTCCAATTTGAGCAACGGAGTAACTATGTAAGAATATTAAGAAGTTCAACAAGGCCAAGTACAAGGTCCTGCACTGGGGTCAGGACAACCTCCAWTATCAATACACACTGGGGGAAGAAGGGATTGAGAGCATCATTGGGTATTCAGGTGAATAAAATCCTGGACATGAGCCAACAGTGTGCACTCCCAGCCCAGACAACTGCATCCATGGCTGCATCCAAAGAGRAGCCTCTCATGAGACCCACATGGAGTACAAGACAGACATGGACCTGTTAAAACAGGTTCAGACAAGGACCATGAAGATGATCAGAGGGCTGGAGCTCCTCTCCTATGAAGACAGGCTGAGAGAGTTGAGATTGTTCAGCCTGGAGAAGACTCCAGTGAGACCTTTATGCAGCCTTTCAGTAAGGGATCTTGCAATAAAGATGGAGAGAGACTCTTCACTGATGCCTGTAGCAACAGGACAATGGATTTTAAAGTGGAAGAGAGTAGATAGACATTGGACATAAGAAGGAAACTTTTTATGATGAGTGTGGTGAGAAACTGGAACAGGTTGCCCAGAGCAGYAGAGGATGCTCCACTCCTGGAAKTGTTTAAAGTCAGGCTAGACAGAGCTTTGAGCAAGCTGACTAAGAGAAAGATGTCACTGGACATGRCAAGGGTATTGAAATAGATGATCTTCAGATATCCCTTCCAACCCAAACTGTTCCATGATTCTATTCTCTATGGTGTTTTTCATTTGTTTGCTTTTTAATTATATTTACAAATATAAATGGAAGAAAAAAAGTTTTTACAAACTATAACATGTCATACCAGAGAGGTCTTTAGCAATATCAAAATCTTAATTAATTTCCTCTGTAAGTATAAAAAGGAAAAATTATATAATGAGCTTGCTTTTTTTTAAACATCCGATTTTCAAATGTAYATATTTCACCAAAACACTGAGATCACAATTACAAAATATACAGCTGGCCCTGTGGCTTCATTCACCTCCTTTGGAAAGTTCTCAACACCTAAGAAAACATTCAGTTCAGTGCAATAATGAAGTCAATCTCTGAAGTGATGGAACTTACACACTACACAAAAGAACACAGCTAGCACACAGACATGTTTACCTGCTATTAACAAACAGATGTTTTGATGAATTCCAGGGAAAAAAGTACAACTTTAATATTCCTTCCTGTTTCACTAAGTAACTGTTCTATTCATCAGCTAGTTTTTTTTAAAATTGTATCTTTTCAACAAATGTTGATTGGATTATGACACAGTAACTGAAATTTTAAAACCAGCTCTTAATCTTTTTGAAATACAATCAAGTACTCCACTTCCATCTTTTGCAGCATAAATTCCACCCATTACATAGTGAAAAACAACCAAAAMCACTTGTAAACCTATAAGCTCTAAAAGTATTTTTATTTGGACAAACATGCAATTTATTTGTGAGTCCTGGTTTCCTTCTTAAAGGGCAATGAAGAAGTTCTATAATTTAAATTATGGATTCTATAGAAAAAGTAAATTATTTTTGTTTTCTCTTAATATTCTCTTAATATTTTCTTTTAATTCATTTGACTGTCTTCTTAAGATTCTGATAACAAAGGTGACAAAACAGATACTTACAATTTATTCACACCAGAGATCGTCTTGACTTCCTTCTAAACTATATGATTATGGGGTTTTTTTTCAGCCATCTGACACGACTCTCAAAAGAGCCGGTATTTCAAGACAACAAAGTACACAGAACCCAGAGAGACTGCTGTAGACAAATAGTTTGTAATTGCTTCTACTAATTAGACAAACGTACCAGTAAGAAGTCTGCATCAAAGCAGAGTTAGTATGACAGCCTGTAGATTTTTAATGATTTTACACACTGGTTGCAAGGTTATGAGCAGGGCTCATTGCAAGGTTGAGTGTCTGTAATGAGTTACTGTGGCCTGACTGTCCATTAAAAGCCTCAGATACCCCACTTTGTGTCACTTGAGACCGTAAAGATGAATCCTCAAGGACAGCATATTAAAAGAAAGTTTCTCAATTCATCGTCAAAAATCTAACCTTGTAACAAGACAGATTGTAATGAACCTTTGCYATAACTGGCAGTGTCATGACTGAATATCACACAGATTATGTACTTCAATATATATAAACAAGAAGATTAAGTTTATGATTGTTATTCTACTTTGCCTAAAATATTTATACATATATATATATATATACTTGTATATTGAGTCTCAGTCTGCTTTTCATGATTTGGTTCTTAAAGGAAAGAAAAAATAAAGTTCTTGGATGGTTGATATGAACAAAACATCCTAAAAATTTGGTTGGTAAGCATCCAGTTCATGTCTTTAGGAATACATAGAAAGTCCTTTAAAAACCTTCCCTAGTTTGGGGGCCTAGATATATGATTCCTTTCTGGAGCTTGTGGTAAAAATTCTACATTAGAAAAAAATTGTATGTRTACATATTGCTGAAATTACAAGACTTCCTAGCACACAGATGAAATATTGAAAACAATTACAACAMTAAACCTATTATTCATACAGTCATTATAATTCTCCTACATTCTTAATCTTTGCATACARTCAGTACAATTTTTGTAATTCCAAAGAAGAAATAGATTAAAAATATTCAATATTTATATTTAGATAATGTCTGAAAATAGACAAAAAGCTATCCATAGTCTGAATTTTCAATATACACTTACTGTGAATTTTAGAACTAAAAAAGTTCAATGTTCATTCAATGTTTTGGATAATTTMATTATCTAACAGGATTAATCATCATCTGAAAAAGGTTATTTACATAACATTTGAAAAAAACAATCAAATCCCCCACCTCWATACTACTACTGTTGTATCTCATAAGGTACTAATGATCATGTGGCTCTCCCTTCACTCCTTCGAAAAAAAAAGTTGTTATAGAATATCCTTAAAAAACATCAAGAACTCTTTATTCCTAATGAAAATCTCAAACTGGCTTTCTTTCTCTAGTTTCATGGCTACACACTGTAGGAAACTCTTCATAAAACTACTGAAAGTTATGAGCAACAACAGAGTTCTTCCATTTCAAGTCCTACAATCGATCCCTTCATACAATCCACAGTGGAAACTTATTTCAACTAAAGAATTTTTAGCATTAGCAATMACCTCAGTGATGTGATTACAGCAATCCTATTAGAGCTCCTTCCTCAATCCTATTAGATCCGAATTAAGAATCAAGATGTACAAAGCAAGAGTCATAAAAGAAACTGGACTGCTCYGGCCAGCAATCATCTTGCAAAATCTTCAGCTTTGAGAACTCTAGAAAGCACCAGGATAGGAGAAAATATTTCACCAGAGGGTCTTCCCAGAAGAGGGGAAACAAATCTGAGACGAGATGGGGAAGACTCTAGAACAGAGAAGCTTATACTTCTGTTGATCTCACAGACAATTGCATATGAAGGCTTTAATGCAAATCTTGTGGAATTCAAATGCAGTTTTGGAGCCCAGGCCAAAAYCACAAGCTTTACATTTGAGAGAAAGGATTTCAGATCTCTGAAATGGCCTCCAACCATTGACTTTAGAAAAACAGTATCAAAACTGCTCTTTTCCAAAAACAAAGCAAATCTGTTTCATTTTCAATCCAACCGCAACCATGTCAAAAACTACAAGAAAGATGGGCCTAAAGACAACAGGGATGAAAAATAGGTACAACTGCTAAAATGGTGTCTAGCACATGAACATGCCCTGAAACTCCACAGACTGAAGGAAAAAATTGTGTGCAACAGACAGAAAGGCAGCCTCATCTGACTGGCCTTTTTTTTCCTACAATTCTCCAGGCTGGAGCTCAGAAATGAAATTCCTCTAAAAAATATAAAGGACGCATTGTGCTTTCTCTCAAAACCAGAATGTCTTCAAAGTGGAACTTGAAAGCAAGATAAATTATGTTGTGAAAAGGCAAAATTTATCAAGAGAAAAGCCGTTTTCCATGGATTATGTTGAACTGTGGGAATAATTTACTGTGTAAAGAAGCCTSGCAATTTAATAGCCAAGAATAATAATTTTTTTGACAGTCGCCTGCTACCTTAGAATTTCCTTTTGAGGAAAAGAATGGAAGTTCCTATTCTCCTTATCATCCTAATCAGAGGAYTGGTAAGAATAAAGAATGAGTAGGGGGGATTTATCTGATACTATTTCAAACTCTCATTGCAGCACAGAGAGGCAATGGCACATGAAATCACTGATTCCTGGAGCACATGAATGACTCACAAAATAAAGTGATTCACTGTTATTGTGCTGGGATGCCAGAAGAGACTGCAGAATATGAAATGSCTTTGGAATGGATTTTAAGAAAAGCTCATGCAATTTACTTAGGTAACCTCCCAGACCATCTTAGTCAAAAAGCAGACAGAGATGTCTCTTCAYAAGAGCATGGAAGCATTTTCTGTTCATATTACCAGTACATATGAAAGAGTATAGAAAGTAAAGATTAAAAGTTGCACTTCTCCCTATCTAGGTGTGAGATGCAAGAGAAGTTATTCCTGGTTAGGAACTGATGATAAAATAACTATGTAAAGACCAGTAAAAAATAGGCCCTGGGACAAACCTAGAGCCTTTTGCTTTTCTATCCTGTTAATGCTGAGACAYTCTGTCAAGGGCATCACAACTGAGGCAAATAATTATTTTCTGCAGACTGAACCCAGTCTAAGGGCTAAATATACCTTTGGGCCGCTGAAAAGTCTTTCAGTGGAATTTTGACTTCTACCCCAAAGATGGATGTTGGAATTTACCTCCTGTTAACAAAGAATCAACCTCAAGGTTTTCTGTTGCAAATATTTTGAAGTTAAGAAACACCCTTTGTTCAGGATACATAAACATTGGAAATAAACAAGACTGCCTTAAAGACATGTTTAACTATTCTGAAGTACAGTAGTCTCCAGAAGGKTATCACAGCAGGAATCACAACCACACACCTTTGTTTCAAAGCTGTGACTGCTGTTCTTGTTCACTTTTTGATTTGGTCTCAGCAGTCATTAGCAAATCAGCAGCCAAATGAAACTAAAACAGARTAATTCCCAAAGAACTGGTAGTGGCAGGCAAGATGAAAAGGTGATATTGATCCATACAGATACWATTAACCACAGCTGACTTGGCCAGGGTTTCACAAGAAAAACAGCAAGCAAAGCCTTCAATGATCTTATTTCACACATGTACAAAGTAKGACAAAGAGGACCAATATAGGAATGTAATGCATATGCATACTTTACACTTGGACCAGTGCTACAAGGTTGATTGATTTATTACAGACACGGGTTGTTTGAATGGACAACAACCCAAAAYCTTGACTGAGAACTTGCAAAGTAATGTGGCAGCATAGGAAATTTTAAAACAGAGTAATTCCACTTGCATATTAATGAAATATTTTAATACTGTAATTTCAYTAAATATAGCAGTTGCCATACCTTGGCCTTCACTATAATCTTCATGCACTCTATCCTCTGTTTAAAGAAAAAAAAATGAGTAGGAAAATTAATGTAATTTTAAGACAATAAAGACACACAAACAATACAATACAGTGTCAAGATTATTCACACCAAAAAAAAAGCATTCAAAACTATAGTAGTTCATACTGTAATAAAGTTAGTAAGAGTGCAAAAGTGAAGATTTCTAAAAAACCCTATGGAAAAAAAACCCACTGATTTTCTGGCATCAAAAGATAGCCTGATGATATTGCTTTATCTTTTTTAAGTCGTTCTTATATACTTCATGAAACCATCTAAAAATCACCTGTAATTCGAAATCTAAATATTTCTAAATCATTTCTATATACAGYTAACTTCTACAGTGTAATTTTGGCATCTACTTACTTGTTATGGCTTACTTGCTTTTATTAGAAATACTACTTTCTTCTTGACATCACACTAACTTCAACATCTCTGGCATATTTGAATTCCATTTTATCCACAGAAACACTTCTATACAATTTAAAATACCAATATCCATTCTCCTGGAAATTCAATCCTTTAAAATATTATTCTGTCCATTTGTAATTCTCTTTTACAGAGAAGCAGTACTCATGTAGGTCTTAGCATCATTTCCTTAGAAAGTTATTATGTCTRCATTTCCAATTTTGATTCTGAAAACACACTACCTAGGAGCTCCAAAGTTGGGTGTTGTGTGTTTTTGTGGTTTGATTTGTTTGTTGCTTGTTTTGGGTTTTTTTTTGTGCATATGATTGTCTTCGTTTGGGGTGAAAATTCAATGAACCTTCAATAAATGAAAGAAGATTTTGGACTGTACCTGTGTAATGTTCCATGGCATCTTCTGGCATTACCTCAGGGTCACCTTAAATAGAAATATTTAATATTTTACATWCCAGTTGAATTTTCATGCGACAGCTAAATAACACAAGAGAACTTTAAAAGGTCACATATTTAGCTCAAAAATAACAGAAATAATCATCCTAACTAAATACCACAGTGTTTTATTTGAAAGTAACAGTTGAATTATAAGACATATCCAGGAACGACACCATAATACAAACAGTACAGTAAGTTTATGTATATTTGTATTTTAAGTTTATGTATATTTGTATTTAGGCTTAAAGTTAGCAATACAAGTAGATGCTAGATAGTCAATCCATTGATCAGACTGGGAAACTCCTTACAGAACAAAATATTTATGTATTTGTAGACGGGATTCACGGAATGTTATGCTCACAAATGTAATAGTAGTGACTTAAAAATTAGGCTTACTTGAAACTATGTAAAAACRGTTTGAAAATAAAACCATGATGAAACAATATGACACATTACTTTGWATCACATTTTAAAAGGTGTGATTATATTATCATTTGAAGCAATTGAAATCTACAAACCTGGAGTGTCTGAATCACTTACTCTCTCTTCCAAATCTGCAACATACTCATCTAAAGCTGTAAATTAAATATAAACAAATAAATATATTGAAATTTAAAACATGAAATATGTTTAATATTTAATTGTTTTAACTTATATCCATAATGAATCWATCAATGGCTAAATGTAGCTCCTTAGCTGCAAGCTGATAAATTAAAACTTTATAAATTGACACTTGCAATTTGACACATGGCAACCTAGTGCAAGGTGTTGTGCCACTCTCTCTTCCAGCCTTCTACTATACTCCATAGGGAAAGCTAGAGCAACGAAAGCCATTGGTCTCCATCAAGATGTTTTAACAATTTTTTTAATAGGAATATAAATTGCAAATGTYCTCTATCTTCAAGGTTATAAAGCAGCCTCTTTACTAATGTGCAGGAGGCTCACTTGGTGATGGATCCATAGAAGACAAGATACGAATGAGAAATTGACCTTGCAAAATACGTACTTCACTTCTGGCATCTCAGATTTAGAGGAATTTACTTGCTTTCACTAGCTAAATTTGCTAAAATTTAGCTAAATTTGGATTATTTTCTTCTATAACTACAATTCATTTCAATGTTGTTAATATACTCACTATGACACATCTAAGAAAACACAGTTCTGAAGGTAAAGTAACTTATCCTTTTACTTTGGAAGTATAATAATCTCCCTCATAGTTTGGAATAAACAGTTTTAGCTGYAACAAACAAATAAAACTATTCTTCTGTCACACTTGACATCAAACACAACTGCAAAGTCTAGAGCTAACACTGAGTCAAACCTAAGAAGCCTAGTCCAAACATAAATCAATGTCTAATGTAAATGCAAGAGACTGRCCATCCTATAAATAAACATTGTTAGAATCCTGAAGAAAATACTTATCAGACAGTAGGGAAACTGCAATATTCACTTAATGCTTCTACATAATAGAAGAGATGAGCTAATGTCATTGTACGTGATACCAAGCATAACATGAAGATGACTCTAAGGTAATTGGATTAGTCCAAGCCAAATTTCAAAAAGCTTTCAAGATGCATTAAAGTGTGCAGAGAGACAGAACAAGGATAGTTCAGAATTACGCCCTTAGTGTTGACTCACTCTCTGATAGTCAGCCACAAAGAAACAGTCCTGAAGGAAAGGTACAAAAAACTGGATGTTCCTAATGCCAAGAAAAATAGTCTAGAAGAACCTTAGTATTACAGATTGTAAGAAGATAATATAAGCAATAAATCTCATGTATAGCCACAGATTACTTGCCTACTCAGTTCCCAATCATACACAACAGCCAGAAACACACAGTAAATGAAATGTTTTTGCACCAATGAAAAGCAAAGTGTCCATACCTGTCACCTGTTATCTGTAATAAAGTTTTCAATAGCAATTATGATACAGTCATCCCAAAGTAAAATTCTCCAGGACAATAACAACTACATATCAGGAAGAAAGAAACCGARTTCAAAATTATATATTCCTACAGCTGTCTAACATTTTCTGTTTTTCTTTCTCATATAATTTGTTACAATGAGGCAAAAAACCAATATTACTGAGTATGGAAAAACAAAATGATACCTGGAATTTCATATGGTTCAGACTCCACTGCTTCAACATCATCTGCCACAGGATCAGCATCTGAGAAACCAAAATGTTTGCAAAATTTTAAARTTTTTAAATCAATGAACAATACCACAAACCCTCTAATATATGTTATGTAAGAACAGAGTTATATTTCTAAGCTGAAATTCTAAGCAAATTTTCCCTAATGGCAGCAWGATACGTATATAGAYTCAAAAAARGGGAAAARTTTATAAACAATATTAAGAATGTGTATATATGAAAAAGCTCTATACACATTTCCTCAAAATAAGACTCTCCACAGAAATTTCTGAATTAATTGRAGGAAAGGAGAATAGTTTCACTTTGCCTTCTTAATTGAAAAGATTTAAAGTAAATGGAATTTGAATTTCTCCTCCAGTCTMCTACCGTGACTTGCACTGTGGGTGAATAAGAGAGATACAGAAACAAGGAGGTATAATAGACCCAGACTGAAGAACTACTTYGGTTATGATGAAAGAATCTCAGTGCACTTCCAGCAATCAAAAGCTTTAGATGACATCCATCACATGTTTTTTTTTTCAAAAAGTTTCAAGAGGTACTAAAGAGAAAGGTAAAATTTTCAGTAGAACAAATAAAAAATATTCAGAAAAATTTCCCCCTAGCAGATTTAGATCATATGATTCTGYTTTAATATTTTGGCTAGACTTTTTATCATCCAGTCAATGCCCCAAGGTGAAATTATACAAGCATTTTCTTTATATSATGACTTCATCTCCTCAGGACTTACATATAATTAATGCATAACATTCTCTTAGGGAGCCGTATTTGAATGAAAGAAGAACGAGAATAAAGGATAGAYAATACCATGTTACTAAACTTTACAATTTCATTTAATAAACCWAAAAGTCCAGAAACRGAYTCCRTACAGGTATTACTGATRGGAGATGAACAGATTGAGAGCAGCCATGCCAAGAAGCATTTGGCAGTGCTGGTAGATGAAGCTGGACGTGGTACGCCTCTCCAGAGGTGAGAAAAGGTTGAGAACTGGGCTCAGCCTGGGGAACAAAATGCTCTAGGGTCACCTAACTGCAGCCTTTCAGTATCRTAAGGGGACTACTAAGGAGCTGAAGAGGGACTTTTTACAAGGATRTGCAGTGATAGGGCAAAGGGTTTTGGCTTTAAACTGAAAGGGGGCAGGTTAAGACTGGATATAAAGAAAAAGTTCTTTATTGTGAGGGTGGTGAGGCACTGGAACAGGCTGCCTAGAGAAGCTGTGGATGCCTCATTCCTGGAAGTGTCCAAGGCCAAGGCTGGACGGGGCTTTGAGTAACCTGGTCCTAGTGAAAGGCGCCCTTCATGGCAGAAGGGTTGGAACTAGGTAATCTTTAAAGCCCCTTTCAACCCAAACCATTCTATAGGATTACATTCATCCCCATATTGGGAAGAGATATGCATATTTGGAGACCAGATCAATTTTGTTGAAAGCCAATATAGTAGTAATTAATAACGTATGGCTATCTAGATTCCAAAACACGTAGCCTTAAAATATCCCATTTTGACTTAAAATACAGTTATTTTCTAAATAATGCTGTAGTTGACACTCCCTAAGGCTCTGCTGTGAGTAGAAATTACAAGTCCAGGTATTAATGAGATTTATTTTTATTTGTAAATTTTTTAAATTTATTTTTAAATGTATTTAGTCATTTCAGATACCTTTCTGAACTGAGTCTGGTGYCTCATATGCTTCTGGGACTTCATTCTCAAATTCTCTGAGCATGTCATCTGTTGCAGGAGCCTCAAAAGTTTCTCCATGTATTTCTTCCTTTACTTGCCACTGGTCACTTACACTTTGATCTACATCTTCATGAGTTTCTCCTAATCAATAATGCAGATTGTTAGTGAATAATTTTTCTTTGGTATATTCTATTACCAGCAAATATTCAGTCTTCAGTACACCCTTCGTGTTTTTCAACTAGTCTCTAAAGGKAATGGGGAGTGACAGATGACTTCCCAACACAGTCCAGAATTATAAACCCAACTTGTCAAGACTTTCACTCACAGTAAAGGCCATCTCTGCTTTATCCATTCTTGCCCTCTACACAGTATTTTGAGGAAGATTTTGTTAAAGCACTGATTTGAGCTATTGCTGCCAAACAAGTCTGGATAAGAAGACACAATTTTAGGATTTGGTGACGGAACATCTTGAATTTTCTTGAAAATGACAAATGAGCKGACTTGAATGTTTTGTGCAGGCAAAAGTACTTTAGGTGCATACCAAAACCAGACTCTGAAATTCATCTAGCCTGTGGCAGTATTTATAAACTCTTCAGTGATTTCTAAGTGTTAATGCATTACCAGGCTGGGAATGGAGAGCTTCGTGAAGAACAGACTGAATTTCCTCTTCCAATTCTACATCATCAGTCTTGTGCTCTAAAAGGATTATAAATTGCAGTGAAGGTAAGTGCAAAAGGAAAAATATAAACATTAACTCAAGGCTTGCAGCTTTTAGTAGGCGCTATAACGTTGTTAATCCCTTTCACAAAGCTCCCTAGAGACTGACATGGTGAACCCCTGCAACTCACACAATTAGAAAACCAATTTTGTCTTGCTTACTCTCCAATACAGAAAGTATTGCATCAGTCACATCAGATTCATCCATCTGAAGATGAAATGGAAGAATTTATCTACACTGCATTTTTTGCACATATATTTTTTCCAGCAGTAGTAACAACTTCAGGTAACAATTCACACCAAGAACTCTAAGTAATTAATTTACTATCAATTAATTTACTATTTAGGCAGCAGCACTAGCATTTCRTATTTGAAAACAAAATGTGAATTGCAGAAGGAGGGTCTTGTGGACTTCAKAAACAGGGAAAATAGATACTAACATTACAATATCACTGTTTCATTCCATTACACATTGCCAGGAGATACCACAAACTGGTTTCATGGACAAGTAATTGTCATCTAACACACCAGCCAGGACATAATAGAAATTTGTAGGAAGTGTTGTCTTCATATAAATGTCCTGAAATTTACATTGAGAAACCCTACTATGACACATCTGACAAAAAATTTCTAAACCAGGTAAGAGCTGTATTTTAAAATAAGGATTCAAAATGGTATCAGTAATGAAAAATGATCCCACCAAAACAAAAACCACACACAGAAAAGAACAACAAACCAGGAAACCAAATCTTAACTTGATGTATTTTATAAATGATAACCTAAGAAAAGTAATGAAAGTCTTTTAAAACAAAATTTATATTCCATAGATTCCACTGGCCATATGCTCCATATTTGTCAGTTTATGTATTAGGTTCACAAAACCATCCTTACCACACAGGATAAGCCCCTTAAATAAACAGGAAAACACATGTTCTCTCTGAATAACACTAAAATGCAAATTACACACRTAAGTATGACATGTAAAACATATTTTCCTGAATCCCTCTTAACTCTAACACATTGTACTAGCAGTATAGGGCTTTAAAAATGTTTATTTTTTTTTAAATAAAAAAATTTTATTGAGGAGCCCATTTATTGTATTTATTATATATTAGTGGTTCTAGTGGAAAAGCGAGTACTTTATTAAGCTGGTTGTTGAGGGGGTTTTGTTTGTTTTTTAAGATGAGGAATCTGCTGTTATTCTAGTTGGATATACAGTTGATAATGTATCTAAACCACAACTGTACATCATCAGAAAATTATTCTGATGTGATACAGCTACAAGGAAAACTATGAGAGCTGAAAAGAGCATCTCCTATACAGTAAAATTTTACACTTTTCATGGTCAGTGATTCATACAAAATTATAAACGGTGATTCCTGTTAAATAAACTTTAGTAGATAAAGCAACACAAAATGTATAAAAGAATTTGCATGAAATGACAGTTATAAATCAAATGAAGCATCATGTTTTTTGTTTTGCCTATGATTCACAAAAGGTCTTACCTGATTCGACATAGGACTTCTCAGCAGGCTGGACAGTCTCCTCAGATTCTGGTGATGTTGGCTGTGCTGGGACAGATCTTTCTTTAAGGCCTGCATTTTTCAGTTATATAGTTAACTTTATGCCCTTTTTGAACTGATTCATTTATAAATCAAGAAAGTTCKTTCAATTAAATTAACTGATGTTACACTCTCCAAAAATGCATTCAATCACAATTACAGGGCTGTCATAATATACAATGATATATACAAAGACTAAAGCATATTCAGATAGTAAACAAAGATGTTTGAAAGACAAACGTACAATAAGGAGGAAAAAAGGACAGAAATTTCAGCACTTGCCTTATTTTCAAAGTAAATGAACAAATGACTATGGTATTCTCAACATCTATTCAGTTTCCAGTAATAAACCAGTAAATTTTCTGTTTTCAATTTGGGCAAAGAGGACTTCAGTTTTATATGTTCTATGAAGAACTAATTTGAAGTTTATGAAAAGCTGCACAGAATGAGAAGARGTATTCTAAATTCATGTTACATTCTTAAAGACCTGATTAAGATTATTTTGTTTTGACAACTAAATGACTATAGAAAAACTATGACTGATGGAATATTGCCAYTAAGATCCCGACTATCTACACCACAGACTTGTCTAGACCAAAACACARTTAAAAGAAAGCAATCAACAAATGCAAGGATCAAACCATGGCAGGAGATAAAGATACAGCTGTGGTAGATCATGTCACATCTTGAGACACCATATGCTCAAGAATGTGTTGGCATTAGACTAACTGTCCTCTCAACTCTTCTTTAGGAAGGTTCAAGCAAGATTTGTACAGGAGGTTCAAACTGGGTATAGGAAAAAACTTWCGCATCCACACCCCCCCCAGCACAAGGACAGTGAAATCAGTGGAAAAGGCTGCACAGAGAGGCTGTTCATTCCCATCCTCAGAGATTTAAAGACCCCATGGATAATGGCCAGAACATCCTGGTCATTCCTCTGAAATGACCCTGTTTCGAGCCRGATGCTGGAATAAGGATCTCCTGAAGTCCCTTCCAAACAGCATTCACCGATAATCCTGCATCCAAGGTCAATTAAGATAAGACTACCTTCTCAACACACATACACACACTGCCCAGAGCAAACTAGTTTTTCAACAGCTGTATAAATGGAAATCAATAGACAAGACAGTACTTAAGAAATCAGAGGCTAAACTATAATTAACACTCCTGTAGTACTAGCAATCTAGTAAAAGCAACTTTTAAGTAGAATAAATATTACACTTCAAGTAAGTACAATTAAAAAAACAATAATTACCACATTTCTATTGGAGTCAAATGTATATCAATACAAATTGGACCAGTATGTCTCAAACAAAATTTGTGCAGACTAGAAAGATGTGATTATTTTATGMATTGTGGGAGAAACATGTAATAGAATTAAGTCTATCTTTTTAAATTATTCAAATTTAGAATTTGCTAATTATTCAATTTTTAGAATAGCTAATTAGAAGCTAGAAAAAAAAGCCAAATTTACACCTTTTTTTTGCCAATTTTCTTCTGTCATTAAAAAACCCACTTACCTAGAATATTAAAAAATATTACTAAAACATTCATCTTTTGCTGCAGGAATATTAATGGGTAAAAGAGTAAGAAGTTATTTCCTTCTATGATCATCTTAGGATGGAGACAAAACTAGACAGTCATATTAGCCACTCTCTCACACTTTCGAATCCATAAGCATGGAAACAGCCACCTTGCTTTCACAAACTCAGTTCAGTTMCCCCACACATACACAGCTTTAAATAAGTCTTCATATCTTTGCCAACTCACATGTCTAGTTCTAGACAACCATTTACTCTGCTTCATGAACAATAGATGAACTCAAAGCATTTCAACAGACAGACAGTATTTCACACCCAACAAGCACTACTATGGGTATTTAACAGGAAAGAAGGAACCAGCAAGTGTGTCTTTGTTTCACTTGCACATTTCCCAACTTGACCTTCAAGCTTTTTATACACATCTATYGTGTTAAACACTAACTTCTACTCACTCTTTTCAAGTATGCAATATATTAAATAATTTACTTTTTGTAAGATATTATTTTCTCTCTTCTGTTYATTAAAATTAAGTTGCACTTATCTTTTATTTGTCTGGCATGTTTTCTGAGCTTGTTTGGTAACTTGCTGCATTATGTTTAATGACAATAATACTTCATTGATATATACAACAACACAACAGATCTCTGGGGCAAAAATACTTTATTTTGTGGCTATCTGTATAGCCTGGAGTGCTGCTCAAATAAAATTTTCTTTGGAAAGGAAAAAAATTAAAACAACCCAACTTTTTCATAACCAGATAAACTTTGGGTGATAGATACAATAATAGGTAAATCAGAAAAGCAATTCACTTCAAATTTCACTGCCACACAGTTATAAGTTCTGTCACATTACGGGGGAAAATAAAAAGTGTTGCGCACTGTACCACTGTGCCACCACCCTTGAGAAGTGTGATTTGAATGCTCCTTTGGTCAAATATTCATTTTAACACTTACCAGGGCAAAGCTGAATAAATACATCTATCATCACCAAAACCTAACAGAGAATGCTCATTATGCAAGTGCATTTATAAGATCTTAATTTTCTCATATATTTTGCTAAGCACTGTAATGTTCACAACGCACATAATTTCCCTCCCTCTTCATGCATTTATAAATATTTAGAAAATACTTCAGTATATYATCTCTGTTAATTATCACAGCTAGATCTTAAGCTGTACTGTTTTCTACAGCTTTAATTTGAACTATTTTTCATAACTATGTGAACTTTTCATTAAAAAAAAATTTTAAAAATCAGACCATCCTTAACCTTATCACATCTTATAACTCCAGRGATCAAAGCATTTTGCAGACACGTGTATGGAACAGCTGAGATAACTATATTGCCAACTGTCATATACCAAATTCAAGCAAAATCACTAGCAGAATTAACCTTCAGAACTTCAATCTTACATTACCATCCACATGCATATATATTCTTATTCTCAATTTCACTCTTTAGTTTTGTTTGCTTTTAACTAATGCTGCAGTATATCAAAATTAAATCTTAAACTTCCACTTTAAATTTTGTTCTGAATCCTGTGTAACTCTATAGTGCAATTGCTTGCAATACACTTRCTCTCAAATTTCTTCAGAAAATATTAATTTCTAAATAAACTTGAAAGCAACCATAAATTCAATGCTATTCTGAAATCTATCTAATATCTTTGCAGAAGTGTTTTGCAACTTCATGTATTCTAATGAGACTGCTGGATAAATCCTTCCTTGATGCCAAAAATACAGAAGCTGCAAGAGCAAACTAACACAAGATCTTGCTTATAGAAGCATCACACACTTGAAAAGTGTTGAGGAAAATAATAGTTGCAAAAATACACAAGCTGTTCTTTAAACAAGTTCAACCAGAACAGAGCACTAGTAGCATATCACATCTTAAATGTAATTGCAATACCATACTTATCAATGGTGAAATAGGTGGCCTAATTTTCAGGAGTATTCATTACCAAAAAGTTGGCRAACTCTGGAAAAAATCAGGACTCAGTTAAATAAAAAGTGATAATGAATCAAGTTTTCCAACCCAAATATATCTAAATAAAATAATTAAATAAATAGGGAATGGAAGAAAAGCAGAAACATATTGTCATGGGATTAACAGACAAAAATCTTGGAACATTTTGGTTGAGTATACCCTGGAGTCTCATGAACAAGTGCAACACTCAAGTTGGTTTGACTATTTGGGTATAAAATWGTTTTCTCAGGAAAAGAAATATAGTTTCCTTAGGGAAAAAGTTTGGTAAGGAATAAGTTACATTAATTTGCTTAGTTCTTATGACACTACAGTCCATTAATGCTCTTCTTGGTTGTTTCTGTGAAATAAAAAGATTTTATATGTGAGTTTCCACGACATGTGTCCAGATAAGCCTGTTAATATTGCTTTTAAACTYACATTTCATATAGAACATTAGACTTTCATCCCACATCAAGCAAATACAAGTAAACAAGGAAGGGGGGAAGAAAAGCCATCAAAAAAACATAAACCCATATTTAGAGCAGGTTTGAAGTAACTGGCATCAATTTGACATTTGAATGTTTTCAATACATATTGATAGCCAGGCACATTAAGATATGTACATACTYGAGTTTCAGAGCAGATGTTTCTGCTTTGTGTTTACAATACCAGTACACACTGAACAGCTTTTTTAAAAAATATTATATATAGCCTTTGTTCACACTTATTCCCAGAAAAYATTATTTTCTCATTGCCACATTTACCACATTTATATAAATATGCAGAATTTCACATTCTTGAGGTCTGTTCCTCATTAGCAGAACAGGAATTCTGTTTATTTCTTTTCTTTCTTGTCTTCTTTGGATTGATTTTTAACTATCTTTTTTGTTTCTTTGTCTTTTCCCACCTGAACAGTGCCATCCTTTTCACTGGCTGACTTTTTTGTCGTCTCCTTGGATTTTGCACTTCTGTCTAGGSCTTTTTCCTTTCCTCTGTCTCTTTTTGCCTTCTCAGAATCTTTTTTTAATTTATTAGTATCACCAGCTTTCTTGTCCTTTCGATCAGTAGCATCTTTTCCTTTCCTGGTTTTCTTTCTTTCTTCTTCAATTTCCTCCTTCTTGGATTCATGYTTCTCCCTTAATTTCTTGAGTGATTCTTTCATAGCTTCTTTTACTTTTTATTTTTTCATTTAAAAAAGAGGAAATGTTCAATAAGAGAAYCACTCTTAGGCCACAAAACATCTTATGAACAGCCATGTAAAAGCTTTCATCAAATTATTATTTAACRTTTGTTAGATTTAAACTTGTAAAATTAACTTCTAAGCTTTAAGCAATTGAAACAAATTAGTTTTGACTTTTAGCAACATCTCACACCATGCAGCCAGCAAATAACCTTGGCTTATACYGCAGCTGCATCCAAATGAAGCATTAATCTAGAGTAAACCATGCCTCTATTATCTTACTGCTAACTTCTGCAGCATGCTAAAACCACTTTTGCCTATGAGTGTGAAAATCCAATAATTTTAAACCT